TTTTTCTGGTATTCTCTGCTTTCAGTCAAGATCCATCTGACGTCAGCAGTAACATCTCTCATTCCACATTCTAGACGGAATCTGGCTTGAAACCTCTTGCAAGTTCCCTGTCAATGTACTGCTGAATTATCTTGCACAAATTTTTACTTGTATATATTATTAATGATATTGTGTGATGACTCCTGCATTCTGTTGGGATAGGCATGAATATGGATGTTTCTAATCAGTTAGCCAGGTAGCTTCTTACAAATTTCTTGAGATAGAAAAGTGAGTGCCTCCAGTGCTGAAGCATTTTATTGAAAGATTTTTATTTGTATTCCATCAGTTCCCTGAGCCTTGTTCTTTGCCAATGCCTTCAGTGCACATTGCACTTCTTCTTTCAGTATCACTGGCTTTTGATCATATGCTACTTCTTGATTTGGCTGAACATCGACCATTTCTTTTTGGTAAAGTGACTCTGTAATCCTTCCATCTTCTTTTGATGCTTTCAGCATCATTTAATATTTTGCCCAAAGAGTCCTTCAGTATTGCAAGTTGAAACTTGAATTTTTTCTCAATTCTTTCAGTTGAGAAATGGTGAGCATGTTCTTCCCTTTAGGTTTTCTAACCCAATCTTTGGACAATTAATTATAATATTTGACTTTGTCTTCTTGAGCTGCCATTTGAAAATTTCTGTTCAGCTCATTTACCCCCTCATTTCTTGCATTTGCTTAACATCTCTATGCTGGAGAGTAAGTTTCAGAGTCTCTTCTAGCATCCATTTTGGTCTTTTTCTTCTTTCTTGTCTTCTTAATATCTGTTTGCTTTCTTCTTATATGATGTTCTTGATGTCATGCCGCAACTCTTCTGGTTTGGGGTTATTAGTGTCTAATGCATCAAATCTGTTCTTAGATGATATCTAAATCATGAAACATGATGATTAGCCTCTACTAATTGCATACTAATAGTACTACTGTTTTTGACATAAATCGTTTCACTGTTTGATGCAAATCTCTTTGCATTTCTTTGCAGGGAAAGTTTTTGAGGTTAGTCTTGGTGATTTCTTCTCATCCCAGCACAACTCTCTAGTTCTATCAATGTACTGTTGCTTGTTTTGCACTGCTAAATGTATAATTGGTACTGACGTGTTCCATGCTTACACTTTCCTGGTCCATAATGTATCAGAGCATTCATTACATGCTTCATGCTTACATGTCCCTGGTCTACAATCCATCAGAGCAGATTCTTCTGTTCATGGACTGCTACATGTGAAGTGATATTAAGGAAACATGTAGCTTGTCCCTCAACCTAGTACCCTATATTCTCTTAAGGAATTCAATAGAAACAATATAGAATCCTAGCTTTAAAGACTCAATGTTTGCCAGAAAACTCAGGCAAGCCATTTCCAAGTAAGACAATACCATCTGCCTAACTAACAGTCACTACAAACACATTTTTTTTTTTAATATTCTATTTTTAAGGCAATTAATAACCCTCTACTCTTGTTGAGAGTCCTGGTGTGGCCCTGTATGGTAAGTACTGAACTGTTAACTGCAAGGTTGGCTCTTCAAACCCAGTAGCCACTCTTTGGAAACCCTATACAGGTTGCTATGAGTTTGAACTGACTCCAGGGTACTTAACAACAACAGAAGCCCCTGTTGAAACTGAGCAGTTAAGCCACGGTGCCTTGTTTTGAGTGAGTCAACTTAGACACAACAATCAACAAGGGAAGAGACCAAAAGTATTATTTATCTAATGGAAATGGTATATTCAAGAGTGCAGTTGGCTTAGCCTGTGTGGAATCTTAGATTCACACACAAAAAAGTAGCTACCATCTGAGGCAAACTCATTGACTCAATGGTACCTTCAACTAATAGAGGTTTCCTTCAATGTTTGGGCCTAGCTCAGTTGAAAGTTGATGGCATTTATTTGGTGGCAGTAGCTATACAATCCAATGGACAACTTATAGATTGTCAGGACAGATAGTATAGATTGGTCAGGACAGTGGATTAATTGAAAGCATCTTTGTCTTAAGGAGCCCTGGTGGCACAGTAGTTAGGTGCTAAGTTGCTAACCAAAAAGTTGGTGGTTTGAAACCCAATAGCTGCTATTTGGGAAAAAAGATGTGAGTCTGCACCCATAAAGACTGATGTGAGTCTGCACCCATAAAGACTGATAGCCTTGGATATCCTATGGGCAGTTCTACTCTGTCCTATTGGGTTTCTGTAGGTCAGAATCAACTCAACAGCAATGGATTTGGTTTGGGTTTTATCCTTGCCTTAGAGCTCAACCTCATTGCTGTCAAGTTGCTTCTGCCTCACAGTGACCCTACAGGAACAAATAGAACTGTTCCTTAGGGTTTCCGAGACCGTAAATCTTTACAAAAGCAGACAGCCTCATCTTTCTTTAGTAGATCAGTTGGTGGATGTGATCTTGAGATGAGTAGCCTAATACTTAACCCACTGTGGCTCCTGGGCTTAAAATATTTACAGATTGGTAAATTAAAAACATTCCTCTTTGGTACAATGAACTATCGCAACAAATAATAGCTAACAATTAGAGAGATGTCTATGTTCTGCTGTGCATAAGGTCACTATGAGTTGGTACTGACTTGATGGCACTTAACAATAACAACAAGGAGATGTACATGGTAATGACTCATTCCCTAATGAGACAGATTAGAGTCAAATTATGCTGCTGATCAAGTTTGCACTATCCAGATTGTTGCCTAATATCAGATTGCAGCTGAATCTCAGACTAGCGTGGCCAAAAGGCAGTCTATGGAGTTCAAACTTAATTCTAGTTCAGCTACCTAGATTATTTTGGACTGCCAGAATGTTCCTTAGAAGCGAGAATGGTGAGACTTTGTCTCACATATCCTGGACATGTTATAAGAAAGGACCAGTCCCTGGAGAAGGACTAACATGCTTAGTAAAATAGAGACTTAACAAAAGATGACCCTCAATGAGATGGACTGACACAGTAGCTGCAACAAAGGCCTTACACACAGTAACATAGATGAGTGAGCATTTCCAGTGCTGCATCTCTGTGTTGAAACACCTCTGTTGGCATTCTGTCAATTCCTGGAGACTCGTTTTTTTGCCAATGCCTTCAGTACAGCTTGGACTTCTTCCTTCAGTCCTGCAGGTTCTTGATCATATGCTACCTCCTGGAGTAGCTGCATGTCAACCAATTTCTTTTTCAGGCTGTTGTTTCTAAGTCTTATCGAGTTGGTTCTGACTCAGAGTGACCCTGTACAAGATTTCTGAGGAGTGGCTGCTGGGTTTGAACTACTGACCTTGTGGTTAGCAGTGTAGTGCTTATCCTTAATCTTCACCACAGCTCAATAAGGTAGATAATATTATCATTGTCCCACATTTACAAATGAAAAAACTGAAACAATATAAGTTATATCAAGATTCTGTAACAAATGTTACATGTATAAATAGAACTCAAATAGTTTGTCTTCCTAGATTGAGCTCTTTATCAATTACTCTAAACTGCTTTTACTGACAGAAATAAACTCCCATTTGGGTCAGGTGTGAAATTTATGCCAAGAACTAAAGCGAGATCTTTTTCTCAAGATAATACACAAGACTCAGTCCTCACAAAGCAGAACCAACAGATGTTTCTTTTACTAAAACTGACTTCAGGATAATGCACTGGACTGCAGGGTCAGTTTGAGCCACAAGGTCAACGGTTCAAGCCCACCAACTGTTCCTTGGAAACCTTATACAGGGTTGCTATGAAGCAGAACCGACTCGATGACGCTTAACAACAACAACACCAACAAAACTGACTATGGACCGAGGCCCAGAAGTATATAAGATAAAATATATATGTAAAATCCCCACTGTTTGAGTAGATTAAGGTCATTATTCCCCTTTGTTGTTATTGTTAAGTGCCGTTGAGTTGGTTCCACTTCATAGTGACCTTGTATAAGGCTTCCAAAGAGTAGCTAGTGGGCTTCTGAACTTGTGCTTGTGGTTAGCAGTCCAGTGCTTATCTTACAGTGGCATATCCATTATTCCCCTTAAACTGTGTATTTTTTCACATGGTAACATTACTGGAAGAAACCCTGGTGGTGAGGCGTTAAGCATTAGATTGCTAACCAAAAGGTGGGTAGTTGGAACCCACCAGTCATTTCACTGAAGAAAGATGTAGCAGCAGTCTGCTTCCATAGATTATGGCCTTGGAAGTCCTAAGGGACAGTTCTAGTCTGTCCTAGAGGGTCAGTATGAGTTGGAATCTACACAATAACAATGGGTATATTATGAGTGGACTGAAAGCTCCTAAAATGAAACGATTGGCGTTTTAACTGCCACTTTCAGTGTATTTCCAGTGTGAAATAAACAATAATAATAGCTAGCACTTCAGTGGGATTTATTACTTGCCAGACACCCCTTTACATGTTAAATTATTTGTCATTATGTCTTCATGAGATCAGTACAATTATTATCCTAATCTTTGTAAAGGACTCAGACACAGACTTATTCATTGCCACACAGCTGGTGAATGGGAGGGACCGGCGCTGTACCAAGCATCTCAATCAAGAGTCCACATTCTTAATCACTGTGCTAGACACTGGCTGTCTCAAAGAATGGCTGTTTATCCTAGGTACAGTAACAAAGACCTGGGTGGAATTTCACTGCAGACTTCTGAGAGCCCCATCTAGTGTTTCCTATTGTTTTTATAGCAAGGCTCGAAACTTGGGTCAGAAACAGGCCACTGCCAGGAATGAGCAAGGCTTGAAACTGTCAGATCTGACACAAGTTTGGACACCCATCTGGAGTGTCCAGGTATAGGGCAAAGACGCAAGTCTATCCAGCTTCCCACTCTGCTTAACTGTCCTCAGACAGTTGACACACCAGGAACCCAAAATTGGAAACACCAGCAGGTCCCAGTCAGAGGCTTGGAGGTGGGAGGGGACAGGGAAAGGAGCGGAGGGCCGGACTCGACGGAGGTGGGTGGGAGGGGTGCCGGGGCGGTGCGAAGACGAGGCGGGGACAGGGTGGACTCACAGATCTAGGAGCTGACTGACCCGCCGCGGGCGAGGCATCGCGGCGGCCCGCAGGAGTCTCTTCCGCTATTCGGTGCGCTAGAACCCAGCCAGGGACCGTCCGCTAACTCCCTCCCCCACGCGCGACACATAGACGCGTGACGTCACACGAATTTTTTTTTTTTTTTTGGCTGGCGGGGGCGCGGCAAATCTCTAGACTACAGAGACAAAGAAGAGAGCCTTCCCCTGCCCCCGAGGGGCGGAGCCACTGAGGAATGCGCGGATGGTAAAGTGTTGAGCCTCCCTAAACTCCAGTGACGTCTGACGGGAGTTGTAGTTCCTACCTCGCGAGTGTAGCCCCATTAGCTCAGCGCAGGGCTATTTTCTCCAGGTTTCCAACCCTCTTTGGTACAGTCCTGGACACCACCAACTGCGAATTCCTGTGATGTGGGGAGTGCTGAGACGGCACTGATTTTACTAAAGGGATATGCTTGGTGCTGGGTCATTCAATTGGTGAAGTAATCCCGAGACTTTCTTGGATGCCGCTCCATGAACATCTTACAGTGCAAACATTTTTTCGTTGGAAGAGGGAGTTTATATTCAAATCAATAAGGGTTGTGAAGATGAGAAACCTGATCCAGATGGAATGATCTCTTCCTTGTTAATGCTGCAGAGTTGTTGCTTCGGTCTGGTGCTGTTGAAAGGAAAATGAACTCAAATTGGATTATGAGTGAATAGGGTTTACTGAAGAACAACTGTTTGCATTGTCCTCTCCAAAGAGATGAGCTCACCAAATTACAGTTTTAGCCAATTCATACATACAGAACAAACAGAAGATTTCCAAAGGGGAAGGTACAGTGATTGGTTGATATTTGCTCTGTTGGCAGTTGATGAGCTTTCTAAAAACAGAGTTTACACTCTGTTAACTAACAGCAATCTAAAGGTTAATTTAAATGTAATCATTTGTGTTAGATGTTTTCTAGAGTCGTTGTTTTTTAAAGTGCTTAGCTGACTTTTCCTAGAACTGCTCTTACTGTTTTGTATTTGTCAGAGGCTCCCAGCTACTCAGAGGGGTTCAAGTTAAGTTCAAAACTCAAAGGGAGCTGTTGCAGAGTATTCTATTTAATATAAACTTAAAAGCTTTATTGAAAGAAAAGACAGCTCAAGCTGGGAATCCACTAACTCTCACGAAATGAAAATCAGAGCTTCTCTGTGAGTTGCACAGTAAATATAGTAAAACCAGGAACTTTAAAGAGCAACATTCTGATTGGTGCTTGGTAAGGTAAAGTACTGTAGAGTGGGAAATCTAAATGTGGGAATTTAGATGATTGGTTGGCACAGTATATGTGGATTACTGGAATTGGATGCAGAGCATAAACTGCAAAATAGTACTTGCTTGCAAGGAGGTCACAAGATGGTCACAAGCTGTTAATATGGATTTTCTGAGAACATATGGAAGAACATTTTATACAGTGGGTATTTTTTTTTAATGTTTTATTATGAATTATATGATAGTTTACATGGGAGAACTTTAGTTTTACATTCATTCCATCGTATATCATCTCATTGCCATGGTTCCAATCCCCTCCATGTATCATCAACCACCCAAAGGGTATATCCCAGAAACCCACTCCCTACACTTCCCCCTCCTCCCCCCAGTTTTCGGCCCCCAGTCTTTCCCTCTCTGGGTCCAAAGTCCCCAGTCGCTTCATCACTCCACATCATCATCTCTCTCTCTATCTCAGGCATCTCTGTTTCTCTGGGTAGGGTCCTGCTCTCAGCTCTTCTCCGTTGATGGTCCCAGAGGTCTCCGCTCCTATCCTGGAGAATTAATCACTCTCTTCCATGTTACAAAACTTCTACCTTTGCATTTCCAACCCTCATAGTCCGTCCTGATAAGCATTATTCATTACAGTATCACGAGTTACCCATCTGTATCTCCTTTCACCAGCTCCGCTCAGACAGATTGAATAGTACCTACTGGAGATTCTGCCTTCTGCCATGCTCCCTAGCACCAGGTTCCCTCTTGAAGGCTTATAAGCCAGTCACTTCTTGCCTTTGTAGTGCCCCCCTCCCCATTTGAGTATCCAATGTCCAAGCTGCCCTTCTCCGTCCACTCTGTGTGTGTGTGGGTGTGTGAATGTTTGTTGCTGTGAGGATTTATTCCCTCTTTTGAGTCGCTGCTCCATAAGTATAGGTCAAGTTCATCAGACTGTGTCAGCTCACTCTTTTTTTTTCTTTCCCCCTTTTCTTTCCTCTCCTGGTTGAGCTCCGATCATCCAGTCATCCGGTCCAGGTCACATGGGTATCATTTGCCAGTGTGGGCGCTCCTGTGCATATGTCCTCTCTTCCCATCAGCCGGTAGCTCCACTCTCTTCTCGAGTCCTCTGTGGCCACGCCACTGACTCTGGGCCCAAGAGTCCCCAGGCCTCTTCACACTGCTTGCCAACCAGGTCCCCAACTGGGTCCACAGAAGTCCATTGAACATTGTAGGGCTTAGCTTGCCGCTTCATTGCTGCTTTTACCCCACTTCCCCCCCTCGCTGATGTGTGTGGTCACCAATCAGAGCATGCATTTCCATTGAGTCTTAGTCTTGGAAGGGGGTCTGCGTTGAAAGGACCTGGCCACTTGCCTTGATGTTTTCTAGGGAAGCAATTTGTTTGTTCTCATAGTAATAGCCCAACTTCCTCCATTTTTCCTGCAGGTCTTTCTTTCAAGAGGTATCCTTTATTCTTCTGGCCGCTCCAGGCTGGTCTGCTCATCCTTTCAAGTGGAGATTTCTCATCTCTGGAGATCTGGATGTGGTTCTGGTTTCTACCTATAGTTTTATGTATTGCAAAGGCTCCGCAAGAAGCCTCGTTCACTGAGTACACTGTAGCCCCATTTTAGGTATTCCAATCAGTCATAGGCAGAAGACGGACTTACAAGCCTTCTAGTGTGGTGTTTCTGACTATTCCTTTCTCTCCCTCTCCAGTGTCTACTCTATATTATAATGCAAGGGAAACCAAGATTAAAACAAACAAACAAACAAAAGACAGTCAAGCATCTTAACATGGTTCCCCCTCCCCCATACCAACCATAACTCAATCCCTGTATCTCAGGGCCCTGCTGTTCCAAGGCTGTGCATATATCGTCCTTTATCTCTGTCCCATTTAGCCCTTTCGAACATGCCCAATTGTTCTCCCATCTGCCCCGTTTCTCCACTTCCCTCTCCCTCCCTATATATTGCCCCCCTCCCTAGCACCCAAGCTCTCTTGTGTCCAATCCCCACCTGCGCTCCGCCCCCCCCCCTTCCCCCCACCCATCACCAACTTCCCAACAACCAACAAAGACTTACCCCTACCCCCTTTTAGTATAATTTCTTTTTCTTAGTCTTTTACAGTAGTGGTGCTATGCAGTATTTCTCTTTTTGTGACCACACAGAGGGTATTGTTTTGAGAACAGATGATAAAGACTAGCTTGCTTAAGGGAAAACACTTAAAAAAAAATATGTATAATCCAGCCATACCAACTACACTCTCCTTGTTGCACAATAAGGGGAAGTACTTGTGAGAACATTTTATACAATAGGTTTTGTGTGCTTCTTCCCCTTCTCTGGTGCCACAAGTCATAATGTGACATTTGGTAGCCTAGCTATGGAGAAAAAATTCCCTTGGCTGGATGATTTAGTTTATACAAAGGTTAATTGTAGCTAAGGCAAAAAACGAAAAGAAAATGAACAGGACAAGCAAAATGGAGTCTTAATAGACACATGATGAGCTAGGCTTAAAACAGAGCTGAACCTGTGAATTTTGAGTTTCCTATGGTATGGGCACTGTTGATGTGGAGGGTACCTCCCTTCAGGAGTGCCAGGCACAACCTAATTTTGAAAACACTTACAGGTCTTTAACTGTGCCTTTCCATTTTTCTTTGTAGATGCACCTGTTTACTTAGTTGTTAGCACTTTGAAAGTTACAACCCAGTCATGCTCAGCATGCTGTTCAGTCAACACTTATTTCAGAGGCAAGGATTGTGCTGGGTCCTAAGAATTCATTGGTGAACACTTACTATTTAGTACTAGGTACAGGTTCTGGTAGTGTAGTGGTTACGAATTGGGCTGCAAAACTTAAGGTCAGCGGTTCGAAACTACCAGCCGCTCTGCGGGAGAAAGATGAGGCTTTCTACTCCTGTGAAGATTTACACCCTCGGAAACCCTGTACTATGGGTCACTATGGGTCAGAACTGACTTGACGACACTTAACAACAACAGGCAAGTAGAAGGTGCTCTGGTAGTGTAGTGGTTATGAATCGGGCTGCTAACCACAGAGTCATCAGTTTGAAACTACCAGCTGTTCCGCTGGAGAAAGATGACGCTTTCTGCTCCCGTAAAGATTTACAGTCTCGGAAATCCTGTACAGGGTCGTTGTGAGTCGAAACTGACTCTAAGGCACACAACCACCACCACCAGACAACCACCATCAGCAAGTAGGGAGTCCTCGTGTAGCATTGTGGGTTAATGCACTGGACTATAAGGTCAGTTTGAAGAAACTCTATACAGGATTGCTATGAGTAGGAACCGACTGCATGGCACTTAGCAACAATTAGACTTAGGTGGAAAGATAAATATGATTAGAGTCAATTAGTGTTAACATGGTCTACTGAATGAGAAGCTATTGGAGAACAGGTAACTATTTTCAAGTAAGGGGCTTGAGTTTGCATAGTAAGTGCAGCCTTTAATTTAAGTATAGATGAGAAAGCATGTTGTGCTTTGCTTTGATTATCACATTTTCTTTTCTTTTTTTAGGGGGTAGGTGGAAGTAGGTCACTGGATGCTAAAATGGCTTCTTTTATTGAATGAATATTGCAAACACATGCTGATTTTCAATTCTGTGTCAAAGTTGCTGTATCATGTAAATGGTATTGTGATTAATTTTTGTTCAGTTCTTGCCCAGGAAACCCTTTTAATTCTTGCTTCTATTTAAATGATTAACAAGAGTAATTAAGTGCTGATGTGGGATTATAGTGCTATAGGAGCACCCATAGGGAGCAGGTCGGGTAGAAAAGAGTAGACTGTGAGGGAAAAGGGCCGGATAATATATACGTAGGTTTTGTGGGCCATGTTGTATATGTTGTTGTTGTTGTTGTTAAGTGCCATCGAGTCGGGTCCGACCCATAGCGACCCTGTACAG